ATATCTGTTTCTTTGTCTTACTCTCTCTCTTTCTTCTCTCGGTACGCTCGACGACGCCGTTTACCGTGTTTTCCTCGTATATTCCTTCCCTTTTTTTTCCCGTAATGCCACCGAAATTTTCAGTCACAAAATAACAAAGCGCAAAATTTGCTACGTACTTATTTATGTGCTTATCTTCCTTGTTCTCTCTTTCTCTCTCTCTCTCTCTCTCTCCATTTCTCTTTCTCTCGCTCTCTTTCTCCTATGCTTCTGTGTATTCCGTCGTCCCCCTATTCACACTTTGCACCGAGATGTCCGTACACGCACACACACATTCGCGCGCCACACACACGCATATACATGTACAGGCTTTCTTTCCCTCTCGCATACATGTATACATTCTTCCGTTTACGCGCTATCTTTCTTTCGCTCTTTCGCTCCCTCTCTCTCGCTCTCTCTCTCTCTCTCGCTCTCTCTTCTAACATTCCGTGTCTCTTACTTCATCTATCTTCCTCGCTGGAAAAAGCGACGAAAAAGAACGAACGATCACGTATGAATAAATACGCGAAACGTGGTATCCATCTTCGATCCATGTGGAAATTCAGAATTCGGCGAATTCTTTGGCGCACTTCTCCGTCAACGAAATCCTCAGTGTCTCCTCCTCATAGTCATCGAAGTTGCTCGTGTCTCCGGGTCCTTTGCATTTTGGTATAAACGGTGCCTCGATTTTCTTTTGGAAGACTGCTATCCAATCGGTACTGGCGAACCACTTGTGACCCTTAATGTCGTTCACACCGGCCTTCAAATTGCCGTACCTCTTGGTAAGATCGACTTGCAGTAAATTACGCAGCAAATCTTTCAATTCGCTACCGAAATGCGTCGGGAATCGTGTCTTTCCGGCAACGATCCTCTCGTATATTTGTATCGGTTGATCGGCAAAAAAGGGTGGATAACCGGCGGCCATCTCGTAAACAAGGACACCGAGTGCCCACCAGTCTACAGCTTTGTTATAACCTTTGCTGAGAATAATTTCAGGTGCTAGATATTCCGGCGTGCCGCACAAGGTCCATGTTCTACCCTGTACACGTTTAGCGAAACCGAAATCCGTGACTTTCAGATAACCCTGAGAATCGATCAACAAATTCTCCGGCTTGAGATCCCTATAGATTAAATCGAGGTAGTGCAGGTACTCGAACGCTAATACGATCTGTGCGGCGTAAAAACGCGAATGCGGTTCAGAAAATCTACCAACTTTGCGTAGATGACTGAACATTTCACCTCCCGGTACATATTCGAGGACCATGTAAAGATATGAATTATCCTTGAAGTGAAACCGCAAAGAGACGAGAAACGGGAAGCTAATCGCCTGCAGTATCCTCTTTTCATTAAGTGTGTGCTCGACTTGTTTAAGTTTCACGACCTTCTGTTTGTCGAGTATCTTCATGGCGTAATACTCTTTGGTTGGCTTGTGTTGCACTATCATGACACGGCCAAATGAGCCGGTACCGAGCGTCTTGATCCGCTCAAAGTCGTCGAGACCAGCGGTATTTGTCGGGTTCCTCTTCCACTTGTCCTCGAACTCTTTCTTTGCCTTGTCGAGGAACTCCTTGACGCTCTCGGCAGCGTCAACCTTTTTGTTCGCGGTCGCGGCATTGTTGCCCATCTTAGCAGCCACGCTCGTTCTCAAGCCAGCCACGGATCTACGCAGCTCGAGAAGTTCCAGAAGACTGCGTCTTCGTTTTCGTTTGTCCTCTCCCACAGCCGAGCCAGCCAAGGCCCCACGAAATTCCGGACTCTTCAGAATTTTTGTTATCTTCTACGTACTTCGATTGGTATTCCAGCACCGTTTGTTTTTTGTTTGTTTTTTTCGCACACTTTCTGTTTTATCGTAACCTCCGGATCGGTCCACAATAGTCTCTATTCAATCCTTCGCGATGTTAGCCCTACAAGACCCACACACGTAGGAGAGGATACTCACACTTACGCAAAAACAGGGCACACGCGCGCACCGCACGGTAGATACACTGCGACCTATGGCGAACTATCCGTTCCTTTTCTTTCAGTTCAATTCACTTAACAGGAACCGACTTCTCTGCACTTGGTTCGAAAACCTTAGTGGTCCCTTAATTGCACGATAAAGCGAAACCAAGCGATTTCGCGCGGAAAAATGGGTCAGTGTTAATCCTCGTCCGCACCTCGCGCCATCTTCCCTGTCAATTGTACTATCCCGTCGTCCACTACACCGTCTCAGTCTTTCGTTTCCTATCCCTCTCTTTTTATTTCTGTCTTAACCTGTAGCCTCGCACACTCGCAACGACTCTTCCCTTGACGTGTTTGTCCCACTTGCTTGACAAATCAAAACACTAAACACTGGTCGGTTCTCACAGTGGAACGCACTCTGCGACAGAATCGCAGATCGGACGATTGTTTGAACGAGGGTAGAACGAAGGAAGAGAACGACGTCGGTTTCGATCGCTCTCAACCCTTCAAACGCTTGCGAAACGTCGTCTGTTCAACTTACACGGCATGCACGCACAAACTTTGACTCGAACGTATTAAATGAACATCGCAAACGAACGTGTATCGCGTCTCCTCGCGATAGCAAATAAAATACGCACTGAACACATTAATTGTTTTACTATACTCGCGGACTGATTATAAGCTCTTAAAACGAAGCAGGCGGCGGTAGCAGAGACAGTCGGTACCGTTCCTAAAGATGGCGACGCGGCTTTCCCCGCTCGTTCGTTCGAGATTTCGCACGGATGCGAAAATGACGAAGTGCCGCTCTACGAAGCGAAAGAGCTACTGTGCTGCACAGATCAGCTATTGCTTCAACTTATCGCCGATAGATGTAGCACGGAAAGGTTTAACGACACTCTCGATAAGTGCTGCCACCAAACGAAAGCGTTGACGTACTTTAAATTCAAAGTAAGTTGTTCCTCGCGTCCAAATCATCAAGGTTTTCGTACTGGAACGTGGAATGTTTCGTACAATTATTTGTGTCACAATTTCAATGGAGAATATGGCTGTCTGAGTCATCAGGGGAAAACAGTTGCGATATGTTGTGAATAACTTCTCCAATTTATGGCTGTATGTCATTCATTTAACAGACATCGTTGAAACATCTACGACGTTAGTAATTGAACAAACTACTAAACAATTTTTAATTTCTTCCAACAATTCGTCTAAATTCAGTGGTTTTAAAATAAACTTAAGGAAGCTCGTTCATTTTTGAATTTATGAAATAATCTGTTAATTCATTTTCTTAACCTATTTGTAAATCCCAGAAATGTGAGTTATTTTTACTAGTGTCTAATACATCTTGATGACGTTAATATTGATAATAAAGGTACGAAACTACTTTTTCCAATTTCCTAAAAGCACTTCTGTTCACTCGGTGTTAATAAATTTTATACTAAGAAAAGGGAGATTATTTTATTTTCTTTATACTAGCTGTAATATTTTCTTTTATTAAAATACGCTATTATTGTTATTCTTTTGCAAACTAATCCTGCGTTGAGTTTACCATCAATTTAGTAGTTTCATTGCTATTAATAATAATCGATCTGTTTTGTGGTATTGAACCGTGGTACGTGCACGGAAGGTTGAACACTCGCTGACCTGTGATAATCCTTTGGCGATTAGTTTCTAACTGTAGATAGGCATATAGGCGCAATTTTAGAGCGGCTGATACGGTCGAGAAAGCTAGGTGGAGTCGATGGAGGACGGGACGAACCGGTTACGATCGAGTCAAAAAGGTACGACCAGGTCAGGTCTTTCGGATACACATTGTATTTTTGTGTGTAGTCCTGGTATATTGTACGCCAGGCTAGCTAATAGTGATAGAAGATATTTTCACCGAGGTTACATTCGTACGTGTTTCTTGCATTAACTTTAGTTTGTTTCTACCCTATGGGATGCGCGCGACCACGCGCTCTATTGATTCCATGACCTGAAGCTGAAAGTGGTGTGCCAATTTGTCGAAGGAAAGTAGAATCGACTCTTAGCTTGTACCACTTCTTGAGTGTTCTTTTCGAAAAATGTTGTAAGCCGTACATTTAAGTAAATTTAAATCGTTACTAATAATAGAGAAACTTTTAATAAAAATAAAAATCTGTTAAAGAAAAAAAAAAAAAGACTCGAACATTTAATACTAAAAAAGGACCACGTGTATATTGTTCAAACGGTATATTTATTAATATATTCATGTTAAAAGCACCATGTGAGTCATTGTTATTGTTTAAAGTCCTTCAATTTCTCCTCAAGTCCAAGCTTGCTCTGTTTACTTTCATTTCTGACGCTTTCTAATACGCAAAAGTAACAAAACAAATATAATAGTCTATAGTGTGGTGAATAAGAACGCATTGAGAAAAGTGGGAATTTAGTCCAGCGAAATGAAAATTTAGATGCGTGATGCTATCTTTAGTTTGACACTGCAAAGCCAGTGGAAATATAGGTTACTGTCATCGAAATAGCTTGTGGCTGAACACATCCACTGACCCACTAAAACGAAATTTAATTTTATCATGTAAAGCCGTATGTCACCGCATATTCGGTTACTTCCTATGATAAAATAGTTTTGATCATGTATATATATATATTTATAAATTGAAAAAATTAGCTGCATAATATTGCTTCGTTAACACAAAATATTGATATATTTCATTCACAACCGTGTAAATAGAATAGAAGGAAAAAAAAAAAACTGTACTGCTTCTCCTGCGTAAATGTCGTGTGTTTATTCGCTCCATGCGTGTCATAAATAGAAGTGCGCTAGAAACGCCAAGCAGGTATCACCTTCCTCGTGGAAAGTTTCATTGAAAATCTAACTCGATCCGGTATGAATGCGTGTTCAATGTTTTACCGCGTAAAGGATATTCACAAAGAAGCATCTGCTTTGCACGTCTTCACCTGCACCGTACATAGCAGCTGCTTGGTGTTATCTTCGTGCTTACGTAGACCTCTAGCACGTGGCATATACGGTAGAGCAAAAAATATATATTTCTGAACAGGCTAAAGTGACACGTTTGCATGATTTTTGCGAACATAAAAATTCACGAACAACCTAACATTTGTTCGTATGCATAAAATCATTCGAAAGTAATATCCACCTTTTTCTTTTTTCTTTTTTCAAAATTATTACAAAACTTTGGAAAGATTGCAGAACGCATCGTTGTACCTGAACTTTCCATAGTGTGATGTAATCAATTTTAGAAACACATTTATGGTAATATCTGCTTTCTTTTATTTTTCACTGTAGAAGAAAAGCATTATGTTTACTTGAACGCATGTTATCAAACATAAAAATAATAATTATAATAGTTTTTTCTTGTATACATATGTAATATATACACTATATACATATATACATTGTGTGCGTGTGTTCGCGCATGTGTGTATAGATGTAACGTTTTTTCGAATAACGAATAGTTTGGGAGATAATTACGTGTATAGAATAACATGGAACTCTTTGTACGTATACATGTATATATTTCTTGGGGGAAATAAAATATGTTAGATACTTAGTGTGTCAACTTGAGTGTAAGTTTTGCTGACTAAACTGTCCGTAAAATGCTTTGAACAAACGTCACAGACAAATGACTTTATAACAAGAAGGAAAAATTCTATTTTACTATTTCACAATAAAAGCAACCTGTAACATGGACGTAAATGCAGTGGAGCCTTTCAGTCGGATGCGTGGATCAACCTGAAAGCATCGTACACCTTTTAATATACACCGGAAATGGGACCATACGCGAAACTTCTAGAACTTTCCGATGCTTATTTCCGTTTATACTTTACGTACTGCTGATATACATTAAATTTCATTACAGCTTAACCAACATCTTAAATCGTACATAAGAGTCAATAGTCATTACTTTGAAGATGATGCGGAACAAAATACATGTTCCTCAAACAATACGTTGCTAGCGCCGGAAACACAGGGATTTTTTACGAGTTTCGTAAGACAAGATTCAATTGGTCAATGCGCTACTTGGTGGGGCATGAGCAAAGCGGTAGTGGCATAGCCACCACTACTATGGACCGTAAACCGCACAACCGTTGATAGCTTTAATTAGACGTATTAGAACTTACATTTATAATGGTTTTCATTTAAAAGAAAGCAAAACTAATTCTGAAATTAATTACTTATATTAAATATCTTGTTAGATGTGTATTCTATTTTTGTAGGAAACTTTATTGAACCATGCTGTATTTATAATTAAAACCAAGCGGCAAATTTATACATGTTTGATATCATTTTTGTTGGAATATAATTTAAAGTTGATTAATACCGTTGATTATTTC